AAGCATAAAACAAAGTTAGGAAAGGCAGAAATATGCCTGGAATACAGGCTGCTGAGATATAGCGTGGTTCAGCCAAGCAATGACATTGAAACTTGGTGTTCGGTTTCATAAGAAATATCTTGTGTATGTTTAGAGGGAGGGGAAGAGAGAGCTGCTCCATCCCTCACCATCTATTCTCTTCTACCCAGGGAGCGCATGGAGTTATTGGAAGAGGCCAGGAAGATGGAAATGGCAAAGTTTCGCTACATCCTTCCTGTTTACGGCATCTGCAAAGAGCCAGTTGGCTTGGTCATGGAATACATGGAAACGGGGTCTCTGGAAAAGCTCCTGGCTTCTGAACCTCTGCCCTGGGAATTGCGGTTCCGCATCATCCATGAGACAGCTGTGGGGATGAACTTTCTGCACTGCATGTCCCCTCCGCTGCTCCACCTGGACCTCAAGCCTGCAAACATCTTGCTTGATGCCCACTACCATGTCAAGGTATGCACTGGGCACTCCCTGACAAGGACCTCACCTTTGGGTACTCTTGGATGGCTCCTGCCAGACTCAAAGGCCTGAAAGAAACCAAAAACATTGCTTTTGAATTAGGAAAATGCTCACCAACCCAACCCCTCCAACCTTCAGATTTCTCTACCTGATTTTTCACCATTTTGGTACATAAATAGAGGTAGAGCTTGTGAGAATTCTTGTGAAATTTTAGGAAGGTTCTAGTGTAGTGAACTCTGTTGTTGAGACTAATGAGTCCTGATATAAATTTCCATGCAGTAAGTTCATGAGGCAGATGAGAACAGGGAGAGAAAAGCTATGTGAACCTCTAAATCACCTGTGCCACTTTCACAGCTCCCAGTGGTAACCTTGTTGTGTCTAGGTCCTTCTGGCTTTGTATGGTTCACTAAATACGAATCTCATTTACAGCTGAAGTGCAGAGAAGCCTTCCCTGAGGCAACACATTTTCTCCTTTCATTTGCTCAGGGCATATGCAGTGAAAAAGTATCTCTGTCCTGATAGTTTATGTGTACCAGAGGTCACTTAAGGGATTTTTTTCTGGCTGTATCAGCATGAAATTCTTTTCATTATCCATTTCCAGAGTAAGCTAGCAAACTTGTTGGTTTTCTTTGCTGGGGGTTCTTGTTTTAACAGCTGGGCTAAGGAGGTGCTTGCTTTCTGAGCCTTTCTTTTGGAGGGGAAAGAGACCGAAACACATCTTTTTTCCTGGTTCCACTCTCCCAACCCCCCCTTCAAATCACTGGCCAAACTCTTAACCTTAGAACTGCAGGCTTAAATTAGTCATGCTGACTGGCTGATAAAACTCAGTACAGGTAGTCACAGGTTTTCATCAGTGCCATCATCCATCTGCTCCCTGTCTTCCTGTCCCCTAAGACTGGCCAAATGGCTTTGGTCTTGCTGTACCATTCTAAAAATTAAGTTTTCATCAAATGAAAATGTCTCTCCTGATGTCATGAGATGGCTGGAGTCATAAGAGGTGTGTGCCTCTAATGAAATCACACCTGTGAAAGTCTCAACTTTTTCACTAGGCCTCTTAGTGGTTCACTACTCTAGAAGGATTTTCTTTCCAACACAGGAGGCATCTACAGATGGTCCATGATAAGTGACCAGAACATCAGGATCTGAACTGTTGAAAGCATATTCTTGCACGTTGATGTTGAGAGGCCTTTGCTGAGTGTTTATTTACCTAAAGTTTGTGCTTGCTTGCATAACTTCTTAAATTCCTAATTCTTGACTCATCCCTAAGCCAAGATATGAAGGCTGTATTTTTCTCACTTGTTTCAGGAGGCTGAAATGCTGCCTGCTATTTTGCCTCCTGTATAGTCTATATCTGGGTGGTGATGTAATACAAGGGGACAAAGTGCAGAATGTACTAAAGAAAAAAAAAATTAATTCTGGTGAAGTCACTGCTGACATCCCTAGACTGTTTCCACTTGCTCTGTATATGAAGCACATGAAGGCCTTTGGACCCCTTCCATTAAGTTCAGAAGAGAATGGTCTAATCCAAACCTTTTTCCAGCCCGTAGTCTTTTACATCTGCAGGCATTTTGGAAAACCCCTCCAAGCAGGAAGGCAGACATAGGAACCTATATGCAAAACAAGAGATGTACATATTCTGTGAGGCGCCTTCACTTTAAAAACGTGGCCCCAAACCTTCTTTTTGTGTGATGTGAAACTTGTAATTAAATTTCAGACCCTGCAGCTTGATTTAATGTGCATCTTCTTTCTGAAAGGGTAATGGAGCTGATGATTGAAGTGTTTTTACTTTTTAAATGTTAGTGTTAATTTAGTAGGTGACCTGTCCCTAATAGAATCCTTAAGGTAAGTGAAGAGATGTTGCAGGCTGCAAAAGAAGAGTTTGGAGGTAGGGAGGACTTGTATAAACTGTTTGCCCTTGAGCCAGGAAACAGCCAGCCTTCCAGTGGAGCACATTAGAAATGCTTCTGTTCCGTATTGCTATTAAATGGAAACACACCCTTCTTCTTTCCGAGCACAATGCTTACTGTAAAATCCCCAGGTGAGGATGGTGACTAACACAGTAGTGTTGTACAGAGCTGTCATCAAGTGGGTGCCTCCATATCATAAAGCCGTCTCCTCTCTATTACATAAGTGTGTGCTGAGCTTTGTTCTTGGGAGGATAATTAAGAGGATGGCATCAGCCTGAGCACTGAGCAGGGATATAGATCGGCAGGTATTAACTTTTTCAAAAGCATGTTGGGAGATTCCTTGGTGATTTTAAATATAGGGATATAATATGCACAGTGCAAGGTAAAGCTCTGCTGGTTTTTGGAGGATGGATGGATGCCTCCTCCCCTGTGAGTAGTGGTGGAGCTCAGTACTGACAGAAGCCTCAGCTGGGAGCTCCTTGCCCCACCATGTCCTGCTCTACCTTGGTTGCCTGAAGTAGCGTGGTTTCCTTATGAGGATTATTCCATAGCCAGGCAGGCTTTGCTAGCAGGGATCAGCCTGCGGGTGTTTTTTTTGTTGTTGTGTTCTGTTTTGTTTTTCTCTTAATGTCAGTCTGTTACTTCCATTTGTACCAGCAAGATCCTCCATGCCCCTTTCTCCAGTGTTCTATATACGCAGCCTTCCAGTACTTACGGGCTGTCTAATACCTCATTTTTGCTTAACTGGACTGACGTACGGAAACAGACTCTATAACCTGAAAGTTATAAAGTAGGTATGTTTATTGCGCGCAGATGCACGGGGGATCGCTCCACCACAAACGTGCACCCCGAATTAGTAAATCATCTTATATTTATACAGTAAAACACTACATATTTAATTGACGCCTATACATATTTATTATATCAGGACCACGTCTTAGGAGCTTGTTCTTCAGCTCTGCTGCCCTCCGTAGGCATTTGAGTTGTCTCCCCTGAGCTCCCAGTGATGTGGCAATAGCTTGCAAGGAGCTGGCACTGGGGAAGCAATGCCACATTCCAGAGCTGCCCTTGGCGGGCTGTTTGCTTGTTCCCTGCTCTGATGTGATCTCTCTCCAGGGCCCTCGGTAGGAGAACACGCCACCCCCTTCACGCAATAATTTTGTACCCTAACTTGTTGCCAGTTCCCATACTTGCACTCTCTCTCTACTGCTGCTTCCCAGGTGTCTTATCTTCACTATCTCATGGTTGTGTTACTTTTTGTTCAGGTATTTTAAATGAAGTCAACCTGCAACTTAATACTTTTGGGCAAAAACATTATTTATAAGTTCCTGTTTCTCTTACTATCCAGTCTGTGTTTGCAGCTCCTCATCCTGTCATATACGTATCTGTACACACACGCTCATGTGTATACGTGTGGGTACATGCACACACCCAGGCAAATCCCACCAGTTATTTTTCATCTTCCAGACTTTGTTTTTTTCAAAAACTCGGAGCAGGATGAGCTGGTCTCAGTTGTATACTGCTTTAAGTTCACTATAGTTGCTTTTATTCTTTTCCTCTCAGTGCCTCCATTTAAATCAGCGTGTAATTTGTTGATGTTTTGTACTGTGCTGATGGTTTTATTAAACATGGCTAGGTTGCTTCTATGGTCTTCACATTTATTTGCTTCAGCTGAAGAAGGGTCTGCACAATTTATGAGTATGGAGTTAGAAAAAGCCTAGTCAGACAGCAAATTCATTTATTGGAAAGCTGCTTGATGTAGGTCATTAAGTGTAGGCCAAAGTAATGCCCAGAGGCCAGGCTGGTAAAAGCAGGTTGTCTCTTTTTACTAGATTAGCTGATGTAGTTAACAAAGCCACTTTTTTTCATTAGTTGCAAATGTTCTCCTCTTACTAGAAATGAGCAGAGGCTTTGTTGTTCTGTTTGTCCCTTCTCCCTGCTTTACCAAGGTTTCCATTAGGGCTACTGTTACATGACTCTTTAATTGCAACCAACAAAGCTGGTTTTCACCTTGATCAATTCTCTAATTGACTGAATTGTGGTGGCACGGGGAGGGGAACAAGATCACCCCTCTTACAGTAATGCAGATTTATGTTGTTATGGGGTAAAATGGATGTTTGAATGTGGCTCTGGTTTCTGCTGCTTCTGAAGAAAGCATTACAAATGTTACACCTGAAACAGGTTTTGAGGAATTAAGGTTTGAGCAGATTGGAAAAGGATGGAAATCCAGTCTGTTTCAGAAAGACTTGTTTTAGTAGCTGACTGGAGTAAACATAAACACTGAAGTAAAGCCGTGTTTGAAGTGAAGCTGCTGGTTGTGTCTATACTGGGAATTAATTTTTATTCCTAATTTTTAGTAGTGTAAATCTGTGACCTGTCTAAGCCTATTAAATGTTTCTGGCATTTCTGAAAGAACAAAATTGAAACAATCAGCCTTTTTATTCCTGCCCCCAGAAAATAAAAAAAGGCTAAACACTACCTCCCTCCCCTGCCCCCAAACCACCCAAAAACCATGTAGACAAATGTGGTGGCATTCTCAGTATTCAAGTGCACAGAGACTTTGGATAGAGACAAATACTGGATATGCCAGCAGTGATTAAAAATTAATCTGATGGCTTTGTTTCCTATTTGATGAAGAAAACCTTTTGGTGAACTCTGTCCTCGAGTCCATTGCAGCGCGTTCTTGAGTTGTATTTGCAGAAAAATTACATGCAGCAACAGAAGCTAAGTGCACACTTCAGGATGTCCTGTCAGGAGTCATCAGTGAAAGCACTTTCCAAGCTCAAATTTTGTTCCTGGGAGGTAGATCCCTGCAGTGTTTGGGAATAGCTGACTTTAGTCATTGTAGTTACGTGAGCATATCTACTAGTCTCTTTTTCCGAAAAGAAAATAAGTTCCAAAAAATAACTTGACAAACTCAAAGCATCTAAAACTTCACAAATGAGTGTCTTTTACAAACTGGAATGGACACGTTCACAAATGACAGAAGCAGAGAAAGCCTTGTGTGCACAGTATGCTCAATGTAAACCAGACAAAGCTAAAAAAAATAAAACTTGGAATCTCTCAGCAAAGTAAGTGTTGCTGGGAAGCGGGCAGGAAAACGTGTATAGCTCCTCTCCCTAGTTGCTACTCACGTGGTTGTTCTCGTGCAGACCTTTAAAGAGCAGGGACCAAGTGCGCTGTCTGAACATGAACAATCCCACTGTCTGCGTGGGCTTTGGCCCATGTTTTTTTCTCTTCTTCCTACCTCTTCACCACGTGTTTTGCATGAAGCAGTCCGTCGCCTCTATGTCTCCTCTTAACTCTGCTGATATTAGGTATGCTTTTGAAGCGTGGTGGGATCCACCTGAAAGGACTGATGTGAGGAGTGAGATTATGGGTTCTCTTGGATCATGGGGCAGGGCAGATCCCAGGGTGGGCTGCAAGGGCTAGTGGGGATATGGAGGAAGAAGTGGGAAGAGGTGCTTCTCTTTCACTACCTTCACCAGCAAGGGTGCCTTGTATTGCAGAACTAAGTACCTGGCTAACAATTTAAAGGCAAAATAGTTACGTTAAATGGCTGTGTCTTCCACCCACTGCACAGTTCCCACTGATGATTAAAGAAGCTGCATGACTAAATACACCATGCAGTGTGGAAAGTTTACCCTAAAGGAATTAATAAAAGCCACAAAACCTGCCTGCAGAATCGTACTATTTTGTTGCAGCCTAGAAGATAGCAATTCTTCAATTTCCAGTGCTTTCTGCAGAATTTGATATGATTAAAGCTCTGCTCTACAGATGAATTTCCTATTATATTGGTATAAAACCTAGTCCTTCACAGTAGGTAGGGCCAGGTTCACAAGGTAAAGTTCTTGCTAGCCCAGGAGGGGTGTGGGGGGAGGAGGGGTATACTATGTACCTTAGCTGTTCCTTGGTTTGTAGGCTGAGACTCGGATCTCTTCTATCTGGTGTGCTTAGACTCTTGTGTTAGCCTCTGGCCTTAGGTTCATGCAACATAGCTGGTGGCTCTTAATGCATAAGTGTCACTGTGCTGTCTGCGTTTCATCTTTATTTCTTAACTTACATGGTAGGAAACCTGGTATTGTTAGACAAAGAGGAAGGTGTATTGCTTTAATTATGCCTGCATGCCATATGGATTTCTTGGGGTGTATACAAGTCTCTGCTTCATGTTAATCAAGGGATAGCAGTGCTTCACCAAGTCACATCTGTTCAGACTTGCAGCAGTCAGTTCGTTTATTAACCTGACACCGTGGGCTTGTGTGATGTTGGGGTTGTGCTTTTGTTCTCTTGTGGAGCACTGTGTGCCCCAAACTCACGCAGCACTTCCTGGAGCAGTCAATTCAGCTCCTCCCAAGGTAACCTGGCTTGTGAACCTATGTTTCTTGACTACCTTCTGTTTTCCTGGGCTCCAATGCTTGGCTTGCTGAGGAGGACAGCAGTCCCCCTGTAAGAATGTAGACCTATAAGCATGATAAACGGCTCCTCCAGGTGACTTTGGTTTTTTCAACCCCTAGCCCCCACCCCCTTATTTTTTTCATCTGAAGTCTTTCCCATACTACCGTATAGATTTAAGGTACAGATGGACAACAGGTTGGATATACCTGTGTGCTAGGGTACAGGCATGAACAGCTCCTGAGAATGCCTCCATTGAGCTCTTTGTCTCTGGGAGAAGTTCCTCCTGAAGCTGTGTGGGTTGCTTTGTTTTACGGCAAAGGGAGATTCCTAGCATTTGAAGACCCATGGCTGTATAGCCTGCCAGTTCTCCAGGAGGCTGAAGCTGGCAGCAGTTTTTGCCCTTTACAGTAATGGATGCATGTTATGACTAGCTTTGTGGTATCTTTACACAGAAACTTCTGAAAGTGTAAAGTTGGAACTTAGTTTAAAAAAAAAAAAAAAAAGCTTTTTTTAATTATACTTGTTTTGAGGAAGAACTTTCTCAAAGCAGAAGCTGTGAGGATCAAAAGGGGAATGAGTCATTGAAAAACCTGAGTATTTATTAGATAAAAAGAATGTATAAGTCAGGGATGCAGGGAGAAAACCTTATCTAACATACAGGAAAAAAACCCAGTGAACTGAGTGGTCCAAAACCACTTGACTTTTCTTGAGATTTCCATTTACCAAAACAGACATTTTTGACCAGTGGGAAATAAGCAAGACAAAGGAAATTCCTTTCCTATCTGTTTGCTTGATGATTGGTATGCTTTTGAGAGCAAATGAATGCATGTTTGTTTGACACTTCAATTTAAAGTGGAGGTACGATTTCCTTTTTATAAACTTGCTGTCACTTGTTTTTTTTGTTTCAGCTGTGTTTGTCATGTCACTGCACCAACTTACCATATCTCCTAGTTGCCAGGAAGAATTCCCTGTGTGGGTTTTTGGTGTGTGTGCGTGTTTTGTTTTGGGTTTGAGGGTATTGCTGATTTTGGGCTTAGTCCTTGTTAGCATGGTCATTGTAATAGCAATATCTGAAAGAGCAATTCTCTTGCACTCATTCGAGAGCTCATGTTCTGAGAACAGGTGCGCAGAATGAAGTTACACATGCAAAGGGGGTGGCAGGACCAAGAATTACATTAAGGTCGTTTGCACTAGCTAAATGTAACAAGTTTTAAATTATAATAAAGTGTCTTGACTGTTTGTTGTGTTTGCTAGGTAATGGGCTAACATGCTGCTGCTTGCAAAAAACAGCTTCTCTTTTTTTTTTTTTTTTTTTCTCCAATTTAACCATAAAGAGAAGCCTACCATAGTATGATGCTTCATGATGCTTCCAGAGCTGTTTTCTTAGCCTAGAATTTCTGAACAGCAGCTCACTATATTTTGTTGGGTCATCCTGTTACATCTGTTGTTCTTTTAACAGAAATTTTGTTGTTAACACCTCCGAAGTCAAATAGTAACATGCACTTCTTTTCCTCTTTTCCATTTTTTTTTTTGCAGATTTCTGACTTTGGACTTGCAAAGTGCAATGGCTTGTCCCATTCCCATGACATCAGCATGGATGGCTTGTGCGGCACCATCGCGTACCTTCCCCCAGAACGCATCAAAGAGAAAAACAGATGTTTTGACACCAAACATGATGTGTACAGGTCAGTTAGCTACGAAAACACTTAAAAGCACTTTAAGTAATGCTGTAAAACAAGCCCTCTTTTTCTGGTTATAAAACCTAATTGACCGTGAAACCCTTAAAGCTAGCTTGATCCTCATCTTGTAGAGGGTCATGTTTGCTGTGCTTTTTGAAAAGTCTTTGTAAAGCAGAGGGGTTTTAACAAACTGCAGCTTATCCTGGGTCTTGAGCGTTATCATCCCAAGTAACACTTATTTGTTAGCGACAGGCATGGGAGGCGCTCTGCCCACCTTTCATTTCCCCATCAAAAGGTACATCCTGACCTACTTTTTGAGTCTGTGACAAAATTCTTAGTTATCTTCAGTGTATTTCATCGCTAGGTCTTTGGTTCTTCTTTCATGGTAAGGTTATTAGGAAAAGGAAATCATAGCTGTAGATTAAAAGAAATACATTCAAATTAGAATATGACATTTCTTTTAAATTCATCTTGCAGGGTAGGAATATTAAAAAAAAAAAATCCACAGCAAAGCTTAGCTGCTCTGATTTTGTCAGTGTTGGTGTGAAGTAGTTGGTGAATGTTACCCAAGAACCCAGCTGCCTTCAGCAAGTCAGGTTTCTCCCTGCAAAAACTAGACATAGTTCTTGGCTGCATCTTGCTCTGTGTGTTCATCAACTGAGGGGAAAGAACTCAGGAAAATAAATTATACTTCTGTGAGAGAGTTTTTTGGCTGTTTTGTTTGGATTGGTTGTTTTAGTTGTAAACCTTATCTAGAATTTTTTTTTTTTTTTCCCCATTTATTTGTAGCTTTGCCATTGTGGTTTGGGGAGTCCTTACACAGAAGAAGCCTTTTGCAGGTAAGTGTAATGTATTATTTCCTTTCTCCCACTGATAAGCACGCTTCCTGCTTCAGTCACCAGTCCCAGATTAGATGCATGTCCTCCAAATTCCTAGGGTCTTACATGGTAGCCAGTTTTGAAGTCTCAGACTCTGAGACTCACAAATGTAAGCCCTCCTTTGTCTTACATCATGAAAGCAGAACCCATGTTGCCACAGGACACCCCAGTCTGTACCTTTTTGCTTCTGCTGGAGTTTGCTGTACAGATCCAGATCAGAGTGTGGCCTGTGCAGACTTCTGACATATTTGTGGCCAACAGAGCAAAGCCAGCTGGCAGGCAACCATGCTGTTTTCAGAAATAGCTTCTCTGTAGAGAGGTTCTGTAGTTGTAGATTGTAGGTATAGATTTGTTCTTTAAAAAAAAAGCTCTCTTTGAGAATGAGCCTTGTCCCACCCCACAGTAAAGGTACCAATCAACAAGCAGCTATTTATTCTTTATGACTTTTCCTGTGTGTATGACTAGTCTATGTGTAGCAAACGTGTTTGAACAGGTTCCAGTCTACTATTAATTTTTCTTCAAGTGAGAGATCCCATTTAGCCCAATGGCTGACTTTAAAGTCAAGACCCATGTTACTGCACTGCTTGATTTGTGTTCTTCCTTCACCTTTATGAAAAATTCAGGTCCTTGGTCTAAATAAAAGCTGTAGCTCAGTTTTCTTACAGCAGATATGAAAAGTCAAAGAGAGGTAGCAACAAACTGTTTGAAGATTTCATTTTTTCTTTGGTTCTTTTGTGGGTAGAAGAAGAACACAGTCACTCACTGACCAATACATGGGAAGTAGTTGTTACTGCACTGAGAAATGTATTGTGGGAAATAAGACCAACTTCTTTTTCCCTGGTAATAAAAGAAAGCACTCTAAATCTATAAAAAAAATGCATGAAAACAAAGTTTCAGCCTAATGCTCTTAGACAAAAGAGAAATCGTTCTTTTTGCTGAGAGATCTTAATTTCTGTGTTTTTACTTTATAGAGGAAAACAACATTTTACATATTATGGTAAAAGTAGTTAAAGGCCACCGCCCAGAGCTACCTGCTGTTTCCAAATCCAGACCTCATTCATGTAATAACTTGATCAAACTGATGCAAAAATGTTGGCAAGATGATCCTGGTGAACGGCCAACATTTCAAGGTAAGATTTCCTCGTAACTTGGCTGCCCATTTATTCTTCTGTGAGTCATGTTATTGCTCAAGACTCTGTTAATCCTTGGGGTAAATGCTCTGAACCTCTGTGACAGAATAAATAGAGCACATTGTATGGTAGAGACAGTGATGCAGGCCACTTATTCATTTGTGGAGGAAGGGATTATCTGGGGACAAGTCTGACCATGACAGTGTTATGTAAACACGTCAGGAATAAGACCTGTACTGAACCAGCTGATCCATTTAGCCAGAAATTATATTCATCTGTGATTATTGGGACACATGCCAAGCTGGAGTTGGGGTGGTTTTCACCATACCAAAGTGTTGAAGGCTCTGGCTCTTGAAATATACTGTTGTATGCTAAGAAACTGAATTGTTTTCTTGTAACAAAACAATTTTGTGCTGTTTTTCTGCTAGTAAAAGACAACTGTGGTGAAAGGCTTCAACTTGCCCAAAGCACCTGTTGCAAATTCAAATGTGCAGTGCAGAAGGAAGTAGCAAGTGCTGTCTCCAAGCAGCTTCATTAACATTAACGGGAGAGATTTGCCTCTTCCCTTTCCTCCTGCCCAAACAAGGTATGGGGACGGAAGGGAAGAGGGATCCCATTTTTTTTAAAAACATACACCTGAGTCTTCCAGCAGTAGACTGATTCCCATTTCAGAGTCCTGCACTGTAGCCACCATATGACATCAGTCTGCTCTGAACGCGAAAATGAATTATTCAGTCAGCCCTTTACCCTCGTTGCCTAGTTATGCACTTCTCCCTCCCAATGGGGTCCCAGATGGAGTAGTCAAAATTGGAGTCTTTCTCCCATGGTATCTCAAAGTTGTTAAGCTCTAATGATAGAGAAAGGCAGCAGGGCATCTCTGAAAACTCTCCTATTAAAAAAAAACAACCAAACAAATCTTCTCTTGCTTTCTTCAAAGAAATCACTTCAGAAACAGAGGCCCTTTGTGAAAAACCAGAAGATGAAACAAAAGAGATGATAACTCAGGACCTGGACACCAAGAATTCTCCAGAGCAGCAGCCTGAGGTATTTATCCTTGTGCCTCTTGTTCAAGCATGCTCAGTTTTGTGAGGAACAGGTTCCTCTGTGACCTGTAACTTACCAAGCAAACTTCTTTTTGCTGCTTTTGAGCACCTTCTTGCCTGACAGAAGTGGGTCTTGGTAAAAGACTGGAATGCAAAAGTGACAGCAGATGTATGGACCAGCTCAGGAAAACCTCAGCACAGGGATAGTTAGGAAATAAAAGCTGGAACTATGTGGGTGTGACTGATCTTAAAAAATGCTGTAGACAGCAGAGACAGGTGGCTTTAGTGGCTGTGTGAATGCTGATGGAAACTGCCCTCCTGCATCTGAAAATTTTCAGTGACCTTACTCATAGATTTCATTTACTAAAACCAGCATTGAACGGCTTCCTGCTAGCCAGCTAATTTATGTTTTTTTGCTATAGGGCTTGATGCTCAGTTTCCTTTACTGACCTTTCTAAAATGCTTGTTTGCTTCTCTTGAAGGGGATGTCTGCACTATCCCAGTTGAAACAGGAGCCTGCTCTGCCATCAGTGAAGGATTACAGTCTATCAGAGTTGTTGTCCCAGCTGGATTCAGGGATTTCACAGACTATTGAAGGCCCTGAGGATCTCAGCCGCAGCTCTTCTGAGTCCAAACTTGCCTCCAGTGACAAGCGGCTTTCAGGAGTTTCATCTGTAGATTCAGCTTTTTCATCCAGAGGCTCCCTTTCCCTTTCCTTTGAAAGGGATAGTTCAGGTAATGGTCAGGTTTTTATTTATTGGGGTTTTTTTCAGTTGTTTGGACTGAGGCATGGGAGTCAGTGTGTTGGAGAGGAGTCAGAGGTGGTTCCCAAACATGATCTAATGCGAAAAAAGAGATCTCATTTCCTTTGGAATAGAAATGACCTGACTTTCCATCAAAGCAATTATAGAATCCGTCATGTAAAGGTTGGTTGGAAGTGAGGTCACCTAGTCCAGCATCCCACTCAAAGTGGGACTAAAGCCAATGCCCAGTCAGGTCAGCTGAGTTTGTGGCTTTTTGGGTTATACTAAGCCCAAGTCTGAGCACCCTTTTTTATTTTTTGAGAAGACTCAAGCCCCCTTCTCAGCAGCCCCCATGAACATTGTAATAAAGACTCTTGCTGTTGCACATATTTGTGTGGTCCCCCCCACTTTTCAATCCAGTGCTGGAAAAAAACAGGAGTCTTATTTTTCAGTTTGGCAAACGATGATTAATGCAGGGAAACCAACCATAACATCTATCATTCTTCATTTCACAAAAAAATAGGATAAGAGTAAGTGGGGCTCCAAATGTGACCTGAAATTGTTCTGAAACTGTGGAAGGGACTTCTTTTCAGTCAATTCATTGCTGAAGCCACCAGATTGTTACTCGTGGGCAGGTACGGTTTGATGGGTATCAGAATTGTGATGGTGTCCTATTCATAGAATAGTTTGGGTTGGAAGGGACCTTTTAGAGGTCTTCCAGTCCAACCCCCTTCAGGGACATCTTCCACTAGATTAGGCTGCTCAGAACCACATCCAACCTCACCTTGAATGTTTCTAGGGAGAGAGCACCTACCACCTCTCTGGGCAATCTGTTCCGTTATTTCATGACCCTCATGGTAAAAAATTTCTTCCTTGTATATCCATCTAGATATTGGTACTACAGACATACAGAAGAGGAAGCTAACAGAGGCCATTCTATCTGGAGATACCAGCAAGCTGATGAAGATCCTCCAGCCTCAAGATGTTGATATTGTTTTAGATGGGAATTCCAGTCTTCTGCACTTGGCTGTTGAAGCTGGTCAAGAAGAATGTGTCAAATGGCTCCTCCTGTACAATGCTAATCCTAATCTCACCAACAAGAAAGGATCCACCCCTCTTCATATAGCCATTGAGAAGAAAGTTAAAAGCATTGTGGAGCTGATTATGGCTAGGAAAATCAACGTTAATGCCAAAGATGAGGATCAGTGGACTGCTCTTCACTTTGCTGCCCAAAACGGGGATGATTTCAGCACCAAAATGCTGCTTGATAAGAATGCATCCTTAAATGAGGTAGATTTTGAAGGCAGAGCCCCCATCCACATAGCCTGTCAGTACGGTCAAGAGAATATTGTGCGGATCTTCCTGAGAAGAGGTATCAATGTGAACATCAAAGGAAAAGATGACTGGGTGCCTCTGCACTACGCCGCCTGGCAAGGTCATCTCCCCATCGTAAAGCTCCTGGCCAAGCAGCGAGGCGCAAACGTGAACGTGCGGACCGTGGATGGAAGGACCTCGCTCCACTTGGCTGCCCAACGAGGACACTACCGCGTCGCTCGCCTGCTCATAGACCTGGAGTCGGACGTTAACATACGGAACGCGCTCATGCAGACTGCTCTCCACATAGCTGCTGAAACGGGCCACACGAGCACGTCAAGGTTGCTCCTGAAACACGGTGCCGACATTGAGGCAGCAACAGCTGAAGGATACACTGCTCTGCACTTGGCATCTCGCAGTGGCCATTTAGCAACAACAAAGCTGCTGATAGATGAAAGGGCCAGTATTCTAGCCAGAGGCCCTTTAAATAGGACAGCATTGCATCTTGCTGCAGAAAACGGGCACGCTGAAGTAGTAGAAGAACTCGTAAGTCCAGAAAATATCAATGTTTCTGACAGTGAAGGGTTTACAGCTCTTCATCTGGCTGCACGAGGAGGGCACATGAAAACAGTCGAGGTTCTTCTGAAGCATGGGGCACACACTGACCTGCAGAGACCTGCATGTCAGACCCTGCTGCAGCTTGCTCAGCAGAGCGGTAATAGGTCGGTTACTGTGTTGTTAAGTGAAACTTAAGCAAAAGGTCCAGAACTTGTCACCTTTCTACCTGGTGCGAGAAGGCTGCTGGAGCTCAACTCACGAAGGCCTTCTCCAGTTGTGCAGTAGCCTGCTCATCAGCAGTGTCAGCTGGCAAACTGAGGTGAGACCACCAGAAGCTACTTGTGTTTGAGTGTGCGAGTGAAAGCACACATGGACTAAGGCCAGCTGTAAGGCTAAGAGCTGGAGTCTGCCATGCCGTGGTCTCTGTCGGACATTTTGTGCGTGCCTGCCCTGTCTCTGTATATTGACATTCCCCTCCCAAGGATGTTGTGAGAGAAGGATGCAATGTGTGGGTTTCCCCCTGCTTTTTTTTTTTTTTTTTTTTTTTTTTTTTTTTTTTTAAAAATGTGCCAAACTAATTTAAGAACTAACATTTTGCTTCATTTTTCTGGAGGGAGGAGGGGGAAAAAAAGGTGTAGATTCCTGGTTTATTGCAGCGATCTATATTTTGGGCTGAAGGCCTCCAGCGTAAAATAAACACAACACAAATCTGCTCAAAATTAATGCAGGAGATGAGGAAAGGGCTATTTAAGATACAGTTAATCACATTTAACTGTCAGAAGGTACTCTGTTTAATGGAGACATTGATTACAGATTTCCATGTACTCAAAATTGATCAGGCAGATGTATTAACAAGGCAGGATCTCGAAAATGCAGAATTAAAAGCTTAACACTGGTAACTTCATATACAGTACCACCTTGTATATATTCTAAGATCAGTAAGCTGAACTTGGTGCTTAGTGATTTGTCTTAAATGAAAAAAGTCAAAAGCTAAAATTCATACTAGACTGTAAGTGGCTGGTATATTCCAACACCGTTATACCAATGTGCAAAACAATGTTTGGAGGGGCTGATGACTAGACTGATATACTGTGTATATAGTATTTCTACCTGTTGTATGCTTTTTTCTACTAAAGAAAATAGATTGCTTAGAGTGGGGTATGTTTTAATACACCTTTTAATTTCACTCTTTTCAAAGTTCAAATGTGATCTGTTATTAATAAAAGATTGTATTCCATATCTATCTGTAGTTGGTAGTTGTTAAAGCAACTGAAAACCCATTGACCAGGAGCAGCACGCAACTGTAACATGATTAACAATGCTCAAGCCTAAACTGTTGACATGTAAGGCTGTCTGCAGTTTAACATTCCCCTTACCATCCACACAAAAGCTAAGGACCTTGACTTGATTGGAGGTATTCATTACAAACTAAATTTATAGAATAAAACCCCACATAACCTAGCCTTTATGTGCATAAAATGTTGATGTACAACTGGGATGCTTTCCTCTTATGCTGTAGCTCCTCAGGGAATTTAGTTTTCTTCCCCACCTTGAAGTCAAGCCAAATGCTTTTGCATCTTCATTGTTGACTGGTGGGTTGCTGCTGCCCAGACAGGTACCTCACACCTCTCCTTGGTGGTGTGTTTCTACCATGCGTGCCACAGAACAAGCAGCAGTGTTGTCTTCTGCTCCCATCTCCCCTGACAGGAAAGCTGCTCCTGCTTGACACCTTTTTGCACATACCTGATTGCAGTGGTATGAACACCAGTCCTACCTCAGTATCTGGTTTTAGGAGTCTAAATGCTTCTGTGGGCATCTAGCCACATGGAAGTCAATACTTTATTAAAGCCCCAAACCAGCCTCCTGTCATTGGAAATGGTAGCCGCTATGGAAAGGACAGATGCTTGCAGAGGGGGCAAGGACCCTGCTGGTGTTTGATACTGTTCCTGGCTCCAGATAGGTACCTCTACATACCTACATGCAATTCCTCTAGTTCAATTTCTTAAATGTCAGGACAGTTCAGTGACTGCCTAATGAAACTACTAGAGAATAGATGGTAGAGCCACCCTCTTGCCAGTATGGGGCAGTTGCAAAGCAACGTACCTCTTCCTGGAGCATGGTGGTCACAGCAAGCTTCATAAAGTTGCTGACAGTGAAACCTCTCGTTAAAAAAAGAAAACTGTAATTTTCTTACTGCTTCCTTCAGCTTCTTTTAAGACCAATAAGGTCGTCATGTTTCATTAAGCCGTACTTAATCAACCTCTCTTTATAGCAAACTCAACCACAGGCCTCTTAGTCTCTCAAGTCCTGCACTACTGTGATTAAACACTTGGCCTAGCCTAGCACACACCATACCCTTCTATTTCAAAGTCCTCCAGACGGTGAGATTTGAGATACTTTAATTCCAGTGGTATTTGCCTCAACTGCAAAAGAGCTGTGAGACCAGGTAACAGCAGTCTTGTGCCTCCTAATGAAGGTGGTGTATGCCAGCTAGGCAAGGGGAAAGTACACTTGCAAAATGCTTTTAAAACATCCCAAGCACTGCTTTGCCAGTACATTCCTTCAGTGCCTAATAATACTAGCACATTAGTGTCTAATTAAACATGAGGCCACACTCATGAGTCTTTATTTTCCATGCTGTCTTTCACAATAACAGGCACCAGCTATGCATTACATAGGGGAAAAAAAAAAAACAAACCCAGCTGAAGGGATTGCAAAGCCATGCTGCCAGCACCGGAGTGGGTATTTGTCCCCGTGAACTACCTTTCCTTGGAGGCAGGAAGGGTGGCTGGGGGTGCTAAATGCAGCAATTGCAGCACTAATGCAGCAATTACAAATTATTGTTTTGTAGAAGTCTCCTGTGAGTGACTTCCCTGGTAGTACGTGAACTCCTCTGACTTAGCTGAAGTTCTAACTGTGCTGCTGACCTAAAGGCTACAGGCATTTCTTTGCCTATTTTCAATCTTAGCTATGTTCTTTTTAAAAAAAAAAAAAAAAAACACACACAGAGAACTTTGCAGCTACAGAGTGTTGTTACGACTCACATACACAAAAAAAAAAAAAAAAAAAAAAAATCCACACCAGCCAAAAACCTCTGCCAAAAGAAAAAAGAAATCCCCTGACCCTACCATAAATGCACAAACAGTGTCATTTGACTTCTTTCTCCTGGTTGAGTTGGCAGATTGAACTCTGCTGCCCCAAGTCTGAAAGGAACCCTGTTCCCCACACCCCTTTCTGCCAGCTTCAGCCCACACCCTGCAGCAAGGCAAGGCAATGGTGTGAACCAGCTCCCAAACCGTGGGCTCTGCCCACTCACCCACCTGCTCCAGCCCTCACGCAAACTCTAAAACATGCAGAAAATCCTCCCCAGGTTTAAGAGGTGATGCGATGGCATGGAGTGCTCCATGGCACTGAGCCTTGCTCCAGGTCCCCCGTGCTACCTAAATGCTCCCTGGCAGCAGAAGGGGCTGCAAGAAGAACACGTTCCTCTCGCTCACCTCCAAAATAAGGCAGAGGTTGCTTAAAGGGTTTCTGTGCACACTGTGCTTGCCTGCTTCCTTAGGGCTTCTGACCATGGCCCCATGCAGGTATTTCAGCCCAGTGAGCAATGAATGTAGGAAAAAAGACACCGCAAAACAGTTTTAGTGACCATAAGCTTCACCTTTTCATCTCTAGACGTGATTTTTCAACCTGGCCTCTGCCTGCATGCCCGCGGTAGTGTAGTGTGGGTTTCTGCCAGCACCCACTGGTGCCAGCTTCCCATGCGGGAGCCCCAGCCCCCTCCACCCTCATTCCTCAGTCATCCATCCCAGGCCCCACCTCCAGCGGGAAGCGCTGCCCCTGATGCATTACCCGTCTGCGCAACAGTTTGTTCCCAGCGCCCGGCAGCTCTATTTACCTGCTGCTAAGCACAAGGTGCTGCAGCCCCGTGTTTCTACAGGCTTCGAGAAGACTCAACAAGCCTGCGGTTCAAACATGCTCCGTGGCAGTGGTGAGGGGAGAGAATTGCTGGCTGATTGCAAAGAGGCCCGGAGGCAAACCTCAGCCCTTTCATTCCTGCCTCCTCTCTTGCACCACCTCGGCTCTGCACAACGGCGTTGCAAGAAAAACAAGGCATGTGGGAGCTGCTCTACAAGGTCTGCTTTAGCAGATAGATCGGACAGGGGGGATATCTGCTCTCCTCTGTGCTCCTTTAGCCCTAGCTGGGTGGGATAAGGTGCACACTGGCTCACAGCTGTCCCCAAAAACCCAGGCAAAGCCTTTGGATATCGCAGTGCTCTGCTGCTGGGGTGCAAGCCTGCATTACCTCCCCGGCGGCTCCTGGGCCCACCTGTTGATCTGATCCCACCATCCCTATCCCCTGGGGAGAGGGGTCCAGCCTTTCCCCTTCCCTCTCTGTCTCAAACCAGGACTTTCTTCAAGCAGTGTTGATTTTTATCTGTTTCTTTGAAGGAGACCCCCACAAGCGAGGAAGAAAGAGCACTGGGCTTCTTTACACACGAGTCCTGGAGCCAGGAGTTTGAGATAGTCAGCCATGCTTAGCCTGTCCTGTTCTTTGGCCAAAACTGCTTGCACATGCACCCAGGTCTCTGCCTGAAGCCTTCAACTGCTTTTGCAACACTGGCTTGGTACGGTGGAGGGATGCATCACACACAGCACCGCTCTGCTCCTTCTCCTCTCCCTGCTTTTGGGACGCACTGTAACCTGGGGACTGTGGAAAACGCCAAACACCGGCAGTCCTCGCACCAGCCCGGGTCGGGGAGAGATTCCCAGCCCAAAGCGAGCACTGGCTAAACAGGGCAGCGCAAGAGCAGAGGAAGCCCTTTCAACAGAGGAGGTGGCAGGAGGCAGATCCCAACACGTCGGCCAGCGCGGCTGCTCGGCGCTGAGCAGCACGGGCTGCCGGGAGGGAGACGCGGTGCCGGTGGGCAGCGC